AAAGTCCCCAAAGGGAAAAGGAAGAAAGACTCCCCCACCTTTCCGGCGGAGCAAATCGCATTCGGGCATTCAGGCACGCCGGGGGACCCTGACTATCAATCATTGACGTGCTCGACTCGATATCTATTGAGCCGCCGGCCCTGAAGCTGGGCCTTGTGCACCATTCGTCACGGCCAGCAACGATAGCTTTTGCAGCAGATCTCTACTAGCGAGTAATGAATCGAAGCTACATGTCACCGATTCTCTATCGCATTGGAAGCTAAATCTCGGTTCCTATCTATAGAGCGCAGAATACCACCCCCGAAATGGCGGCCCCGCGCACAACCACAACCCGGCCGCTGTCCGCCGTCCTGCCGCCTCTGATCCTCGGCACCGCGACCTTCAACTACCAATACGTCTCGGACCCTTCGCGCATGCCCTCCGTCGACATCGTCTCCCGCTCCCTATCACTTGGCGTAAACGCATTCGACACTTCCCCATACTACGGGCCTTCCGAGACCATCCTCGGCGCCGCCCTACGCACCCTCTCACCGCCCCGCGACTCCTACTTCCTCGTCACAAAGGCTGGCCGCATCGCCCCGACCGAGTTCGACTACTCGCCGGCCTGGATACGCGCCTCCGTCCTCCGCAGCCTCGAGCGTCTCAATACCACCTACCTAGACCTGGTCTACACCCACGACGCAGAGTTCGTCACCCCCGACCAGGTAGTCGCCGCTGTCCGCGAGCTGCGCCGCCTCCGCGATGAGGGCCTAGTCCGTTACGTCGGTATCTGCGGCTATCCCGTTCCCGTCCTCTGCGAGCTTGCTGAAAGGATCCTCCGCGAAACGGGCGAACCCGTCGACGCTGTCCAATCTTTTTCGCACTTCTGCATCCAGAACGATACCCTCGGTAGCGACGCGATCCTCACACGGCTGAAAGATGCCGGCGTCGGTGTCGTGACCAACGCGAGCATGCTGAGCATGGGTCTGCTTACCACCCGCGGCGTTGATGATGGGCCCATGGCGAGCTGGCATCCGGCTCCGAGTCCCCTGCGCAAGCTATGCAAGAGCCTGGTTGGAATCGCCGAGGGCGCGGGCGAAAAGATGGAAGAGCTCGCTCTGTACTGGGCCATGGCGAATTGGGCACGCGTAGGAAGTGCCTTTGGCAGCGAGCTGTTGCCGCCCACGTACAACGGCCCTGCCAAGGTTGGTGTCAGCGTCATGGGTGTCACGTCCGTGTCGGAACTGGAAGAGACGTTCCTTGCCTGGCAGGGCATGATGCGCGAGCTTGCGGCCCAGAGTGACCAGTCAAATCCCGCCGGTGCCCAAGCCAGTCGACTTGACAAGATTCAGCGTTTGGTCACGGAACAAATGTGGCCGGCCTTGGGCGAATGGCGAAATTACAGCTGGGCCAGTCCTGGCGAAGATTTTGTCAACCAACCTTCCGTCGCCGCCATCGATGCTGCCCTTCCTGCTATCGCTCCCGCCGCCGCCGCCGCCGCCGAGCCACACTTGTAACCCTGGCAGGAACCCAATCCTTTGCAAGCAAGCTGGGCATGGGAGGTCAAATTTTCGAGACATCAAGTAACAAGGGAGGGCGAAATATTTCCATGAATAAGTGGTATTTGTCAAGCAGTTCGAGACTATCAACATCTCGGCCGCTTTTCTCACATACCTATAAAAGGTAGGTCGGGTAGAGTACAGTGAGCGCTGGCCATTCACATGGCGAAAAAGCGAATAGATGAAATAAAAAGAAAGAATCACGTCTAATGACCTCCTCCCCCAAAGTTCACGCTGAACGCCTTGAGTTTCTTGGGGTTCCCAACCCCCAGAGTGTATGCAAAACTCTTCCTCCCATGTAGCCGTTGCCATCAAATATGGCATCATCATATTTTGCAATCATCCCGTCGTCATGCCCGTCGATCCGCACTCCACTTACTGCGTTACTCCAGTCGAACTCTCCACAATGCTTTCATGGCCCAATCTCTTCGATTCAGCAGCCTCATCCGAGATAGGAGCCGGGGTCTCGGGTGTTATTGTCACTTCCGGTGTCAATGCTCCACTGCCAAGCAAAGGAGAGACGTCGCCTTTGCCGGCGCCGTCGACGGGCTCTTCGGGAATCGTTGGAGGTGGCTTCAATGTGCCGACGTTTGTCTGCACGGGCTCCTCACTGTGTGCGTCCTCCATGTGTTCCGCTTCCGGTTCGTCTTCCGCTTCGGCCTTCTTGCTCGTAGTTGCAGTCCGGCCCTCGCCTGAGGCGATATCCTGGTCATGGTTGGCCTCGCCATTTTCAATGTCAACGCCGACCATCTCTGCCAGGCTCCGGAAGTTGAACATGGGCTCCGTATTGTCTCGGTCACCTTCTTCGCTTCTATTGCCGACGCTCAGCTCGCTGGCTCGAGGATCCAGGTACGCCTGGTTGCTATAGCTGCCAGCTGCGCTATCAGCCAGAGATGATGAGATGGAAGATGCATTGCTCATCTGCCTCAAGTGAGAAGGCCCGCGGCTAGTCGTCGGGATCGGTAATGAGGGCGTGGTAGATGTGCTTTGGAAGCTGCTCTCGGATGACTGCGTCTCAACTGCCGGACGTTCTACAGCTTTGCCTTTCGAACTTGGTGCCGAGCTGGGTGCCGAGGTGGGAGAAAGGGTATTGCCAATCGGTGTTGAGGAAGCCACTGGAGAAGTCTCCGCGCTGGGTCCTGCGGAAGTCGTCTGCGCACCCTGAAGCGTGGCCTCCACACGCAAGTTGCTGGTTGTGCTATTCCCTCTGCGTCGTCCAAGGCCAAGCGAGAGGCTGCTACCACTAGCAGAGCTCTGACCAGGCCCATAGACGCTCTGCCGGTCCTGCTTCTTGAGAGCTTTACGCTCTTCCTTGTCCCTCTTTTTGGCCTCCTTTCGCTCCGCCTTTTCTTGTTTGCGTTTTCGCTCTTCCTCGGCGGCGAGAGAAAGACGGACGGCTTCCATGAACATCATATCTTCCAGCTCCTCCATCCGACTTCTCCTATTTTCCAGAGCTCCGCGCCCGGAGGAGCTTCGAGGTCCAGGCTCTGGTCCAGCTGTGGCAGCTTCACCCTCGGGGTTGCGATGGGGGCTCTCTTCCGGCTGTGGGTTGGATGGTCCAGAGGGGGTGCGACTCCCGGTGTTTCTCCGACTGAAACGCCCGGGCCGTGTGAAGGCGAAGCCACGCTGCTGTTCGTTGTTTCCCATAAGGAAGGCCGCAGTGTGCAAAGCAGTTGCCGCTGCAGCTCTGCGTGCTTGGTGTGCTCGTTGCGCTGCGAGTTTGGTCGACCAATCCGGTCGAACCCGATCAGTAGTGACAACATTTGGGGCGTTGGCGGACAAGCTTTGAGCTCGCCGCCTCCCAGATGTTGGAGAGGTAGGCGACAAAGTGGAGTTCAAAGAGCTCTGAGACGACATGGCGGTATTTTGTGACGGGTATCCAATGGCATAAGATAGACCCCGTCGGAAAGGGGGAGCGTCATAGGTTACACCGAATTCGGTCTGCTGGCAGTAGGGGCACTGCGCGGGCTCGGATATTAGCATTTCTGGAGCTTCCTCCGGGTTGGTCGGATTCGCAGGCTGCTCGGTCGGTTCGCCGTGATGCTCGGGATGGTGCGGATCGGCGCGCTTGATCTGCACGAAACATTCGCTGCAGATGGGCTGATCGCAGCAACGGGTGCGATTCAGGTAGGGAGGATAGGTTAGGAAACAAATGGGACATTCGGTAGCATCCTTGTACAGGAAAACCTCTAATGGCTGTCCGTTGACCAAGGGGTCGTTGGGCAACTTGATCTCACGGGGCGCAACGTCGTTTGACGAGTTGCTGCGTGAGCCCCCGCTCAAGGCTGCTGCAAGGGCTTTTGCCCGAGGCTTGAACGGTGAGCTACTCCGCTGCTGGGCTGCGTTGGGCGACGATATTCCAGAGCCCGGCATTGAGCTACTACGATCCGATCCAACTGACAAAGATCTCGGGCCCATTGGAACAGTGAGATTGGCAAGGTTCTGGGATGACTCGGTGGGAGAGGCGGGCGTATTGGACTGGGGAATGAACTCGGGTGGAGGTTGTTCATCGGCGGCCGGGATAGGAAGGCCGCGACCGGCGCAGATGAGCTGATATTCGGTCCAGTTGTCGGAGTAGTCATTAAGACCTCTCCAGAATGGTGCAAGCCGTCTTTCAATCTGCGGGGCCACAACTGTTAACCTTTGCAACCAAAGCATGAGGATATTCGGGAACCATCTTACCTGCAATTGCCGCACGACGGGCTTGCTAAAGTCTTCGGGACCAGTGTATGTACCAAGAGTCACAAGGTATCCGCCATCGATGTGCTCCTCTTTCAGACTCCGCTCACGTTCCTTTTCTCTCGCGACGCGGTCCCTCTCAAGTCGCCGGGCTTCCCGTTCCTGCCTCGTCTCCCTCCGCTCGTACGGCGCATCTTCTCTGCCTGCAGCACTTGAAGATCCGGCGGCTCCTAGGCCAAGGAGATTTAGGTCGGCTCTACTAAAGCGGCTTTGCCTCCGTGAGCTGGCATGATCATTTGCGGCTTCTCTGGAGGTGGAGTGATTGAGGTAGGCGGCCTGGCTTTGCCTGTAGTCGGTCGCCGGGTCAATCGGACGAGATTCTTTGGTGCTACTGTTGCCCATATTGGTTATCGATAGTGTGGCCGAGCGGTGTTGCTTGAGGGTTCGACGAGTGTGGGCTCTCTCGAAGTGGACAGAGCGACGACGGGTGATCGATGACCCGGTTCAATCAGAATAACGATTGCAAGTACAACTGCGGTGGACCAGTGTCAGCCACGGCGGTAGACTATGCAGTGAGGGTGGTCCGGCCAAGATGAGTCCGGTAGAGAGTGTTGTGGTTGTTGTTGGTGTAGTCGATGTATGGTCGCAGTGTTGTCGATGCTGGGTGAAGTACCGTCGCAATATGGTTGGGGATGAACCGAGTGTAATCAACAACGCATCCTTCAGACGAAGTGGCAGAGAGCTGCAAGCATTGTCGAGAATGGTGAGGGGAGGCAGATGGTGCTATTGATCGTCGGAGGCGGATAAGAGGTAGTAAGGTGTACCTATGCGAATGGGCGCGATGGGTTGATGGCGGGCGGTGATATCGGGGATGGTGATGATGGACGGATGGTGTTGGCGGTGCAGGGTGACGGTCCAGGGGTCGCAGTCAGCGGATGTTGTGTTTGGGTGGGTAGGTGGTGGTGGTGGTGGTGGTGGTGGTGGTGCTGGGCTTGGGGATCTGGGACCGGACGGGCGTGTCGGGTCGGGGAAGCTTGTGACGACGTGGATGTCGTACGTGCGTGGCTGGGCACTGGGCACTGGGCACTGGATGCTGGGCGAGCCAAGATGTGAAGGTTTCCAGGCGTATGGAGACGGGCTTCGCAAGAGGACGCAGAGCGACTCTACAGTACCTTGAGTCAGGCCGGTGGAAGGATAAAGGGATGAGTGAATGTGTTGCCAAGATGGCAAATGGGGAGATGCAAAAGCAAAAGAGATGAGAGTGTGAGGTGGTCGTTGGAGGGACGAGCAACAGATGCTTAAGGGAAGGTGGGAAAGTTGTCGGGCGCAGAGGGCCGGGGGGGCGCGGTTACGGTTGTCGGGTGCAGTGGAGAGCAAGGTTCTCAATGATGCAGGAGTGCCAGGTAAGGAACCTAGGTACCTAAGGTAAGGTACCTATTCGTAAGGAGGAAAGGTACCTTACTTCAGCAAGGTGTAAGGTAAGGTAGGTAAGGTAGGTAGGTAAGGTAAGGTAACCAACCTGCTGAGGTACCTTGTAGGTTAGCAGCGACGGGAGACAACAAAAGTCAAGTGGCCTCTATGCTGCAGGACTGCTCATAATACTATTTGATTCATACAAATGTAAAACATTTCAAGCTGAATGACAGACGAAGAAGAAAGGCCGATTGTTGCTACTCATTCTACCAGTATACCGGAACCTACATACCTACTTGGATGGTACCTTATTGGCTGACTTCCGTTTTACCTTGGGCACCTCACCTTAGGTAAGTACCCAGGCACGTAGGTAAGCGTGGTAAGGTGGTAGGCACGTAAGGTAAGGTGAGGTAAGGTAAGGTAGCTGTCGCCGATGTTGCCAAGGGAGATGTGACGTCTGACGTTGTATCCGTACTCAAGCTGTCAAAACGGAAAGAAAGAAGAAGGAGAACTGGAGAAAGTGGAAAAGGATACCTAGCAAAATTGTGCAAGTGAGGTAAGGTGGGCGGGTGTAAGAGGCCGAGAATCAAGGCAGACAGGGTCCAACAGAGGGAAATCGGATCCTAGTGTGGAGAGGCCGGTAAGGTGCAGTACCTTAGGCGAGTGTGCGGCGCGAGGTTACCTTGGATTGTTTCCAATGGGTAAGGTAGAAGCATCGGGCGGTTAAGTTATGGGAAGAAGAAAGGGTACCTCAATCGGCTGGTTGTTTGGGCATCTGGGCATTGTACCTTTTCCAAGGGGATTTACTGTGTACTGTGGTATTATCCGTTGGGTACCTTACCGCACCTTTTACCTTTGGGGGCGGTTTGCTGAGGTGGATGAGGTGGATGAAGTCTGGACCGAAATCGCTGGCTGCACCGGCCCGGCTTGCTTCTTGGCCTCAGATCTGCGCTCTTGGGACCTGGAAGGCACTCCCAGTCTGCAAGGCAGGAGATGACCTGAATGCAAGTGGACTCGTCTTTCCTTCCCTTGGATACGGAGTAAGGTAGAGTGCAAAACCTTAAGGGAAAGAGACTCCTGTGTTTTCTTTTCACTGGATTCGTAATAACTCATGAGAAGTGCCCGCCGCGTCTCGACAACCTCTTTCCTTTGTACATCAGTGGAAGTCACCATGGTCCACGGCACCTTCCAATGTTTTCTTGACGCCAATGAATGAGAGAGGAAGGGGCTGGAGACTACGGAGCACGGAGGGGCAAGAGGTTGTCGTGGAAGGTGGAGCCCATCTGCAGCCTACCTTAGGTGCGTGCCTGCCAACCCAAGGTACCTTAAGGTGGTAAGGAACATACCATCGGCAAGACCCCTCCTTTCCCCGACTTCCAAAATGCACTTGAGCCATGAGGCCCTCCTCACCCTTATTAGCTAAGCACGCCTGTCCATCATGAGGGGTCGACCGATTTGATGAGAAATTGATGAGGTGAGAGCTGAAAACCCTGCTTCCGGTCTTTCCGCAACCAGTCACTGCCATTTACTCACTGTTACTGATGTTATCGCTAACTGTCACTCGATTTGGTACAAGTATGTCGTTACTTAGTTCATGTCCCTACCTTTTGACGTCCATCAACACCATGAACGCTTTTGGCCATCAACACTTATGTGCCCCCTATTCAGCCTCCAATCCGGCACTTGAACAACTCATCGCTGCTATGTCTCATGTCTCATCCAATCCACCATGACCCCCGCGGCACCCCTTGCCGTCTAATGCTTCCTGGTCCCGAACCAACGCGGCAAGTGCCTCCCAAAGCTCCCGACGGGCATCTCCCACCTAAATCCATGAATCTTGCGCCTAGAGCTTCATGCGCACGACATCTCGCAACACCCCGTCCTGCAAAGCTATGATGCCTCACGGGCTTGAGCGCCTGTTGCGCCCAATGTATTCGTACCGCTCTCCGCTATTGCCTTAGTCTAAGACTCCATGGTGGTACTACCAAAGATGGAGCCCGCCTTCGCATCTACCCTATGCCTATGCCTATGCCTATGCCTATGCTGCTCCATGTGTCAATCGCTAACGCCATGCGATGCGACTCAACAACGGATCCCCTCCAGACAATCGTCTTTCATCATTCATGCTCGCGAGCCTCGGACCATGTCATCGACCTACAGGAGGAGTGCTAGGTTGGTTGAATTACACGGCACGTCTCAGCCCGGGTTTGTTTCCCTGCAGGCACTCTAGGTACGACTAACAAAGGGACGCCAAGGTGGTTTGCATGTGCTGGCTGGGCTAGACACTGCAAAACGTCATGTACAAATTGCAATATACACACGATATCTGAACAATTTGTGCTCTATGCTGCGTAGGCTTACCTGTGGCGGTGTCCAGCGGATTGACTCGACGCAAGAGTCCGAGACAGGCACGCGCTGGGAAAACGGCTTCGTTCCGTGGGGTGCCTCACGAGCTGCCGCCATGGAGGCACCCTCTACATCTCCAAAAAGCCCCGACCGCCTGCCGCCTTATCTCTGTAACCAATGCCATGACACTGTCGCGTGATTCTCTGAGACACCCATCCCACCATGTTGGCGGCGGTGAGCACCTACATCAAAACGCCAACTGCACCCCACGTCGCACAATGGCTGGCGCTTCAGCCGCCAACATCCTCTCATCGATGCCATTCCCGCATCTGCCATGGTGGTCTACTTACCGCAAGAGTGTCCTAGTCATGTAATCTCAAGATATTGGATGGCCGAGACTGGCCTGAAATAGCATGCGTGAAGCGAGAGGAAGTTGAATCCAACAGAGAAGTCAGTTATGGAGGTTTTCAAAGCCTCGAATACGTCGAGGCGAGGTCAGGAGCCGTATCGCTAGCACGTCAACTCATAACTTGAAGTTAGTACAACTAACTAAATGTACTCATGTCGCGAGTACCTTACCAGTCATGCATGGAATGACAGTGCCATACGGGGCCCAGGTTATATCCCAAAAGCGCACACCCAAGGAAATCTTTCCTCGGCTTAAGCTAGGTTTGTGATTTACTGGACAATTAGTTTAGGCCACAAGGAGTTTACGACAGATTCAACGATTGGAAGCTCTTGGCAGAGCGGGAGTCGCATCCTGTCCATGTCACTGGTTTGGCTCTGTTACGTCAGCAGTGTCGGCGATGAGGAAGCCGACCACCGACTGAGGAAGCCCAGGTCCAATAGGCGGGCGGGAAGAAGTCCAAGCTCCAGTACCTGAAGTTCCCAGTGGAAAAGTTCACGATTTCGTCAATCGTATCCATTGCGACGTCCTGGCTCTAGTGCAAGTCATCCCTATGGCTGGTGGCCGCAATACCAAGTCTTCAGGCCCTGTGCCTCCGTCGCGAACGCTGGTTCTCGACAATGGCGCGTCGACCATCAAAGCAGGCTTCGTTTCCGACGACCACACTGACGAGCCTCGAGTAATACCAAACTGCATCGCCAGAGACAGGGCGAGAAAGGTCTACGTCGCATCCGACCTCGAAAAATGCCATGATTTTGGCGAAGTTCAATTCCGGCGACCGGTAGAAAAGGGGTACATTGTCAATTGGGAAGCTCAAAAGGAGATTTGGGACCACGAGTTCTTCGACGACAAGGCGCCGCAAAAGTGCGATCCTTCCGAGACCAGACTGCTCCTTGCAGAACAACCCAATTCGTTGCCTATTCTACAGGCCAACTGTGATCAGGTAATCTTTGAGGAATATCAATTTGCCAGTTATTATCGTGGTATTGGTATGTAGTTTAGCCTCTTGCACGTCTCGTCGACTCAGCTGACCTTTGTCTTCCCAGGGGCCTCCTTCAATGCGTACCACGATATCCAAGGTATCCTTCAGACCCCCCGAGACCCGAATTCGGTGCCCCAAATTCCGGCTGAAGCTGTGCTGCTCATCGACTCTGGCTACTCCAATACTATCGTCATGCCTCTTCTCAACGGCAAGCCCCTGCACTCCGCTGTTCGAAGACTGGACGTCGGTGGGAAGCTCATGACAAATTACTTGACGCGTTTACTCTCTCTGCGATACTACGACATGCGAAACGACACATACATCGTTAATGAGATCAAGGAACAGGCAAGCTATGTCTCACTCGACTTCAATGGCGACCTCGAAAAGACCTGGAAGGGTACGAGGGGCGAGAAGAGGGAGCCTTACGTGACGGGAGCCGGCATTGCCAAAGACTACATACTGCCCGACTTCCACACCAAGACGAAGGGCGTCGTCCGAGACTACGACCCTGCTATGCACACAAAAGCAAGAAAGATGGCAGCACGCGCCGCTGACAACGACGAAGACATACTCACGCTTCGAAACGAACGCTTTTCAGTTCCCGAACTACTCTTTCAGCCTTCCGACATTGGACTCCGACAACCCGGCCTCGCGGACGTCATCATGCAGTCTCTTTCCGAATTGCCAGTTGGGCTTTGGCCGGGGCTCTTGGCTAACATCGTTGTCGTTGGCGGCAACGCCTTGTTTGCTGGCTTTATCCAGCGGCTGGAGAAGGAGCTTGTCAAGAGAGTTCCCGATGCCTGTATTGTGAGGGTCGCGCATCCCGTCGACCCTATCACAAGCACCTGGCATGGCGGTGCCGAACTGGCCAAACACTCCGATATTCATAAGCTGTCTGCCACTAAACAAGAGTACGAAGAGTACGGCGGCGCATGGGTTGCTCGCAAATTCGGCTCTGGAAACACTGGTGTCTGAACCTTCACTATTCCAAGCATCAACTAGAGCGGTTGGTCTATCAAACAGCACTAGAATCATCACATCCCCGTATGCCCTGTGGGCGTACATCGCAGGTCTATGGAAATCAAAAACGGCCTCCATCCCGGCTTCTACACAGTCGAATATTTCTTGACTATACCAAACAGACTGCTCCACGATGCCATCTGCCCCGGGTATTCATATTTCGAGCTTTTGTCGATACGTTTTGGCCGAACAAGTTTTCTCGTCCCCAACAACATGGAAAGTCTTTACAGCCATTAGTATCGACCACCCCTTTTGTCTATATCGGTACGGCTGTGGGCATACTATAGACAACCTACTTCGAGCCAGTAGCTTCGCACCGTTTCAGGCATTCTGCGGTGCCAACCGCAGCACCAGTCCCGACAGCCGGGATATCTCGTCGTAGCTGTGCAAACTTTGCTGACAGCGGGTTTCCTCCCAACGCTGCTGCCACTACGCTTGGAGGAAGATCGAAGAGTCCATTGGCGACATTATGGGTACCGGCGTCTTCTGAGCTCAGAGCCGAGATCAGAGTAGCATTATCGCACCCTGGAGTGGTAAGCATGGGACAAGATATGGAGGCTCGTAACGAAGCTCACCTGTGTTTTGCATCGTGTGCAGACTGCCTTGGGGAAAGATTGTCATCGTTCCGGGCGCCAAAGTTGTCTTCACCATCCGAGCCCCGTTCTCCAGCGTCATAAAGGTCTCGGTAGTCCCCTCGACAGAAACCACATAGTTGGAAGCACGAGCGTGGTAATGCGGCGGCAGCATAGCGCAGGGACCAAGACTGATCCAAGCCATGGTCATACCATTGCCAACCGTTGCTGGGAAAGTCGCGGCATTGGCGTTGACGACGCCCCCGGGGCTGTTGGTGTGGAATTCATGGGCGAAGTAGTTGAACGTCCAGTCTTTATCTTCGGGTAGAATATTAAGCTTATCAAGTTCTGTTGGACTTGTTCTAAGCGATCGAACACGATCTGGGTACAGTGTGTCGTCTGTGGCGTTAATGAAGGCCGCAAATAGACACAGTGACAAGAGAAGCCAGGTTGGCGACGGGGCGGAAACGGCCATGTTGGACGAGGTGGATACGGTTAAGGCGTCCAGAAGGCGTCCAAGTATGTCTTGAAGATGCCGTTTCGAGATCGATCGTCCTCCCTCCGGCGACCCAGGACAAGGCGAACTTATACTAGCTCGTGAGGCTCAATTCAGTGGCCAGGTAGGACGCATAGATCCTTGGAAGTCACCACGAGATCTCAGGGAGTGCCATGGTAACGGAGCAGTCTCCGCTTGAAGTATAGGCCAATAGGACATAGCAAAAAGGCACAGAAAGCCATCTGCTGGGATCTCCATCTAACTTTCTCGAGGCCAATGCCGTTATCCTGGGTATGCGATCACGAGTATCTCCCCACGCAGCGCACGATCGATATACGACGTACATATCGTCTGACAAGAGAATGGAGGGAGACGAGGCAGGATCTCGGGAATAGGAGGACCCTGACAAAGCACAGAAACCCTGAATATTTTGTGCTAGGGGACGGTGCGACTTACCACGTCCTCTCGCAGCTGGTAAATGCTTGCACCTGTGACAGTCAGGGCAAAACTGTCCAACCGAACCGGCCAGGACGGAGACAGCGACTCTGGCTACAACGGGTACTCGAACAAAGGATCTCCTCGGGCTTGGCATGTCAATACAAGGACTAATGACAATCTCATTCCTGTCGAGAGCTTCCAATCGTCCCTACAATCTTTTCTGCCTGCGTTTTCAGGTCATCACTGGAAATATGCTATGAACAAAGAGTTTCAACTTGGCATGTGACTTGAAGTGTCCAGAGGGTCGTCCCAGACGACAAAGTTGCGCCCGAGGAAGAGAGGAGAGAAAGCGAGGCACTGTTGTATTTGTCCAAGTAAGCTCGTGATACCGCCACTCCCCAGCTTGTCTATCTCGTACCGCAAGCTTTCCCCTACGTAAATATAAGCTACTCGATAAGGCCCTGCTTCCACAGTATCGTATAGCTCTATCCTTTCACTTGGTCATTGGACTATCTCATTTCATTGGATGATACGGAGAGAAGGGTCTTGACCTTTGCGCGCGTTAAAGTGTGGCTCCTAGAGAGCCTCATAGTCGAGGTGACGGCCGAGGTCGGAACCTACCTTGAAGCTATCAGCCCAGGCACATGGCAGGCGTTCAGCATCGCACTAGGACCTGTATACCTTCACTAAACTAATCTGGAAGCTTCCACGGATGGGCCGAGGTTTGTGGCTCGTGACGACGAATGAATTTCGAGGCAAACTGTCATGCAAAATGCCTGTGAAACAGACTGTCTATTCCCGGAAATAACCAGATTGATCAGCTGGGTGGCACAACAATGTAGTGGAGGCATCTCTAGCATCTCCTTATCGAATGATGTCTTCCTTCCTCACACGAGATGTCGTTGACGGTCACGGAACTTGATCTGACTTGAATCAGCAGGAGAAAGAATCGAGGAGATGACGACTGAGGCTGACTGAAGCCCGAGGAAAGGGGCTCACTAGCAGGAACACAATGGTGATAGTCTCGCCTATGAACGGGAATTGCAGTTGGATCCAAACAACCGCCTATAGACGTCACCTGCACAAGTCTCACCATCACAACACAATCTGGCTAGAAACGGGACACAAAAAGTGGGTGCAAAAGAGTTGGGATTGAGGTCAAAAGGTCGTCTATACCGCTAAACCATTGGCAATCAACGCCTCAAACGCTTTGCTTCAAGGGTATCTCACAAACGATGAAAGCGCTTAGTGACGTGACGAGAGCTCGCCGGCTCTGTAAATATAGCCCATGCAGAAAATCAAACAGTACACAAAGTTGGCCTTCCGAGACAAGCTGTAAATCGTGACCCAAAGCTGACGAGAAGCTCTTGGGAGCGCCGCTTTGCCGCGCCTGAAGATCCAAATATGAGAAAAGTCTTGGAATTTTTCAATCCCGTGAGTGCCACTAGCCTTCAGCTTCAGTTGGTCTCAAACCCCGTGGGTTGCGGTGACTGACCGGCGATCGGCGTCTGTCGTTTCGCCCGGATGACACCCCCTTAAAGGTGTCGCAAGAAGCGACCACGGCTCGAGCACCCTACCGAAAGAGTTAGCGATCTGAACGCGTCAACGAGGTTGCGGGGATCGAACAGTCACACTGTGGATGTTAGCCAAGGCCCAAGAGATACCGTTCGTCAGAGGCGGTCTTACGAAAGTTGAGGTTGACCCCTCGTTGTGAACCAAGCAGTAGCCACCGCAGCAGCCTCTACAGAGCCTCTGTGTACGATCAATGCAATCGTGACACTGTTTTCTTGCCATCAGCTCGGGTCTCGTCGACGGAGAACTTTGGTCTAGAATCGCCACTTACATTGCTACCGCATTCCCAGCAGCTTTTTGCGATACGAGCCTAAGGTTGATAACCTGTGTTAGCATCATCGGGTTCCCGGTCATGACGCATACTCTTCGCTAGATAACAGGAAGTCGAGGGGGACGAGGAAGGGGCGGACGATGAATAGCATTGTGGCATACACTTTGGAACAGGCCGGGCCAGACGGCAAAAGGATGTCCGACTCAGCCCAGCAACACCCTCTGCGCATCAATGACCTCGCCCATGATGCAGTCTGGGAAGCAGGCGCCATTTCGTACCTTAATCTTGGGCTGACTCTCGTGCTCTTGGTGCTGGACCCAAGCACCGCCGTCGGCGTCGACGACAATCACGTCGGTATCGGCCAGCTCGGTCACGGCGCTGGGTGTCTGGTAACATTCCTCGCACCACCACTTATTGCAGCCCGCGCAGTATCTCTCTCGCAGGCAGTCGATGCATCGAGCGACGAAGGACGTTTCCGATCCGGTGCAGAGCTGCGGTGCCGTTGCGGCCTTGACTGACGATGCTAGGAGAGGCGGAGGGGACAGGAGAGGACGTTGAATCGCCGGAGTCCCGCTGTGAACTGACATGCCTTCGGGTGCAGCACCGCAACCGGCACAGCCGCCCAGGGCGACTGTCGCCACGGCCCATTGCCGGGCTGAGGCCGGGGTTCTTACCTTGCCGTAAGCAGGCGAGTTCATATGGTGAGGCCCGGTGCAAGCAACTGCATCAAAGGCAATGATACCGTGGCAGTCGACCAGAGTGTTGGCCCACTCCTCGACCAGCGGACGTGCAATAATGCGGCCTTTCCTATAATACCAGTCCTCTTCCTCGCTTCGAAGAGATGATGTCAACGCCTGCTGCGACTTGGCATTCCACCCTGCGCTGATCTGCGCTGCGTGCGATGCGGTGCCAGAGGATACACCGGGTGATGCGAATGAGGGCAGCGGAGTGTCCTTGGCACCGAAAACGTAGAGACCCTTCAGCCGGGGCATGCCCTCTGGCCGCGACGGTCTGCAGGCATATTGAAGAGATGCGCACAGCTTGCGCTCGTTCAGGTTTTTGACGCCGCGAATGGATAAGAGTCGCACGCTGTAGGATGGGTCGAGAATGATTTCGTGGCAGAGCTCAGCCGTCACGGACAAGCCGTCTAAGATCAGCGTCTGGACATCTTGGAGTATGTTCTGTCGGCGGATGCCTGAGAAGATGCCTCTCAGCGGACCGGAGTAAAAACTGGTGAGAATCGCGCGTTAGTCGAGTCGTTCTACCGCACCATGGTCGGCCCTCTCCGGCATCCCCACCGCGTCGAACCGGCCGCGACCCCAGGGGGTGGGGGGGGGGGGGGGGGGGGGGGGGGCCGGACCCGCCCGAGGGGGGGGCGGGCGCGCGGGCGGCGCGCCGGCCCGCCCGCCCGCGGGCGGCGGCCCCCGGCGGGGGGGGCGGGGGGGGGGGGGGGGGGGGGGGGGGGGGGGGGGGGGGGGGGGGGGGGGGGACATTGGGGAGAAGAATGTCACCGACGGTGGTAGGAGGTCGAGTGGAGTAAGGTCGAGTGGACGCACTCATCTTCGGTCAGATTCTCATCAAGTTGGACATTACGCCAGACTTCACCACCGCGATCAATGCCGTCGATTTCAAACTGCGCCGCGCGTACGTGGATCAGATCAAGATGGCGGAATACGCCAGAGGTGTGTTTGATCAGTTCTCGGAATGCTCGGCTCGTGGAGGCAAGGCTCAGACGGTCATAAGCGGAGAGGTGAGGAGCTGTGTGGGCGAGGATGAGAGGATTGGACAGGAGATGGAGGAGATTGGTGACCGAATTCTGGTAAAGCGTGTAGGCGTCCTCGACGTCCTGGAGCATGTTACGGCGAACGCGCGCGAAGGGTAGAAACGTGGGAGCAGAGACGAGGTATTACGCGACGGCCGTAAACCTCGAGGGTCTGCGGCGATCAGTCTGGAGGTTAAGAGGTGGTGAAGGTGCTGTTGTAAGACGGGAAAAGAGAGGCCGAGAGCCAGAAAGCTAAATAGGTGGAAGGATGGCCGTCAAGGGAGGACGGGCAGAACTCGGTCGTAAGCGCAATCGCAATCGGAACTTGGTCAGACTGATGATGCTCACTGTTTACATGGGAAGATAAGAGCTTTCGGCTTGGTAAGGTAGAGATCTAGACTGCCAGACAAGAGACGTCTTGGGGCGGACGACATGTCGGTCTAAATATCTACAGCATCGAGCCCTGACTGGTACAGGAGAGACGATGGTGGGCTACGTAGTGCCTGGGCAAGACAAGAAACGTGGGAGTGTCTATCCTTAGCTTTGCGGTGAAGAGGTACCCCGTCACGCCGTCGAGCAAGGCGAGACAGGGAACTTTGGAAGCAATACCTACTGTGTAGATGTACATCGAGCAAGGGACCTTGGGGGTCAACCGCGCCGTACGTACAGTCAACAAGATGCGCCGAGAAATGCAGCACGGGCAGGCTAGAGCTGTGCAGGCTAGACCGGTCCAAGGTCCAAGTGGATGGTCGTCCAGATTGCCCACACACCCGCCCCGTGCCATCATCCACGTCCCATAGCTACCTACCCACGTCCCTCCCCTCCCATCCGGGCCTTCGCACCGTAGTGGCTGGCACAGAGCGAATAGCGGAGGGCAGGTAGAGACGCAAGAGTCACAAGTGTTCCCACTATCCACTTGTTGCTCGCCTTTGGCTTCCCCAGGAGCTTGCAGGGCAGGTATTATCGGCAGAAGGTGGTAGCGTGGGTGGTAGTGTAACCGTGTAGCATCCATCTGGGGTTGGCCCGGTTGGGTCGACCGTCGGACCCTGAAAGAGAAGATCGGCCGTGTCCAGTCAATGGAGCCATTTGTGGCAGATGGGGGGCAAAGAATAGTGCGGTTGAAACGGAAGAGCTTCAACCCGCCGCCTGGTGCGGTCTTGGCAACTGCAGAGCAACAGAAAAGGTCCGCTGCGCTGGCACCTTTGACATTGATGCTGAGAATCTCTCCAAAGTATCCGTCTGTCGCGTTTTGCTACTCGGTACCTTACTCCGTGCCAAGCATGCAGGCGTTTATGCGCCTTTGCTGACTTTGAGCGGGAGCTTGGGAACAGAGAGAGAGGGTGTACGTAGAGTCAGGAAAGCCAATAAGGTACGGACCGAAATGTGAGGCACTGAGTGGGGAGTGATGTGTATGGAAATTGCTTGAACCTTGGGTGAAGGCCCGAAGGGCTGTGGAAAGGGGGTGGGGGAGGGTTGGGGGTGATGATCCGAGTAACGGTGTGTTGTTGAGTTCTGGTGCGGTGCGATGAGATGAGACGAGTTGATAGGCGTACCTACAATAAAGTATAATGCTCCATTAGGTCAGGTGTGTTGACATTCTTTCATCAAAAAAAGAGACACCGAAAACCGACACTGGAGATCTAACAATGTTGGATAGGTTGTCAAGACTTGATGGGGGTTGGGTCTTGAGTGAGCCCTGATGCGCATAACCGCCCTGTCTCGTCCGAGATAACCGGTAGGATCTGTAAAATGATTGCGCGACATTCGTACGGCTATAGAGAGACAAGAACAGGTCTCCCCGGTCACGCTGAGCATCATCCTATCGCTATGTACGGTCAAGTACGGATACAAGCGCAGTTTCTTGACATCTCATTCCGCCCCATCAAGCTCCATCCCGCGCAAGAGAGAGGTCTGTGGAGTCCAAGCTCCAATGAAGGTTATCGAGCTGGGCATGTCTTGAAAGTGTTACATGACCAAATTAGCCGCTCCAACCGCTTAAACCTGCCATGACTGAGCGAGGATCGCTGGGCTGGCTGGTTAGGTGATTGTTGAAGCCCACCACCATCTGCACAACAGCACGACTGCCGCAGCGCAAGCTTGTTGCTGGTTCGCTGTTCGGTGTTCCTGGCCGAATCAAGTGCGAAAGCTTGGTTGGGGTTGGCTTTGCCGGAAATGGTGACTTTGATCCCATCCCCAAGGTTACCGAGCCATAGGGGAGAGGTACTTCAACCTCACATACCTAGGCTGCATATGGTACAGCTTCGCTTCGTGGGATTGCACTATTCACTTTCAACGAAAGCGTTTCGTGGGGTAATAACAAGATGCCAGTTGGACTGGTTCCGCTCCGCTGCTCTGCGCTGCCACTCTGGCAGTCTCACGGGTGGCCACACATTGTCCGTACAGGACTACACTCCTCCAGGCTCTAGTGGTGCCGCCTTCGACTTTTGGCTGTCAACCGCCGATAAGATGGCGCCGTAGCACAGCGGCACGTTCCTTGGCCGGCGCTCGACTCGAACTGCTCATTTTCATTGTGACCGCTTTGCGTATCTCGGGTCATGCTGCCTCATCCTGAAGTTGCGACTCGCAGCGGAGCGACTGTGCGTGCACGCCTGTCCGTGCCTCTGCCTCGAGAGGTCCCATGTCTGCCTCATTGCTCGGTACGGAGTTGCGAGTTGCTGCAAAGACGTTGGATAGTGTCGAGCAAGCTGGGGAAACACAGGGAGCTGCGAGTCGCGAATATCCATACCAATTGTGTGCTCCGCACTCCGTACTCCATACACAATAAATAATTAGGTGGTAGGCTAGAGGGGGTTCCCATGCCTATTTTGGGTACTGTTTCGGCGCGCTGATCCGCTAGCCAGCCCTGCTCCGGGGGGCACGGAGTGACAGTCCGGAGTCGCGGAGTCGGGAGTTTTGGCCACATTTGTTTCTGCTGGTTTTGGTGAATGGGGAACCCAATAGTAGAAGCATGAGGTGTCAAGGACTCAGGTTGTGTTGCAGTGGTTGAGCGCTCAGTGGTTCAAGTGTTTGGCGAGCTGGGATATGAGGCTTCCTGGCAGACGCACATCATGATTCAGCTTTATTTGGCATGATTGGTTGAGTGGTATTGGTTTTATCTTGATTTTCTGATTGCGCGTATGTAGAGTATTGGTCAAGGGCGTGCGCAGAAGATTGTTGAACCGGCAATGTGCCAATGCCCATTGTCTCGCCTGCGTAGGTAAATTGAGAAGGTCTGAGAAGCTTCCCATTTGGACTCTTAGAGGTTTAGTAAGCATTTCTCTCGTTTCCATTCTCGCGATCGTCGGGTCGCACCTTACTTGTAGGTCGGCGGTCGGCCAAACTGTCCCGGATCCGACTGTTCATCACACCACCTCAGTGTTGCTGACCTT